AAGGACGACATGGGTAATCTCTAGATCTCTTTGCGAAGTCTAGAGATCAATAAAATGGGTCATCAAATTGTCTCAAGTGGCTGTTACTCGACAAAGCAGAAAAATAACAACTTTGCAGCTCTTTGATGGCTGTCACCCGACAAAGAGGAGCTAGATGGAGATGGGGTGTGTGTTAGGGAGCTTCATCCTCAGGTTCGCGTAGCAAGAGGAGGCTCTTCATGACATCCGGTACGCTCTCAGGAGGTGGTGACTTGTTTCCCAACAGATTGTCTTCTTCCTCATGACGGCTTGTTCGTCAATCAATCAAAGATACTTTACTCAATGGATTTGTGATCCTTTTATTGCAAATCGTTCAATAATTTTAGTAACAATGTTCTGCGAATTGCATTGACGAGATTTTCGCCGATGATCTAGTAATTCATGCAGCTTAATCCTTCTAGTGATCTGTAGGAAAGTTGCGATAATCAAATAAAAAATATAAGTTTTAGCTTTGGGAGGATTCGAACTCATGCTAGTTGCCTGCCTACATGAGAGAGATTGAAATAAGTATTCTAATGCCCTTATCAAATGATGTCATCATGGTAGATTTCTATTATAAATAAGAGATATTGTAGATATTAAAATTATCAAAGCCTTATGGGGAAGGTGTGACACAGGTTTAGTCTCACATCACTTGTGCGCTGAAGTTTCGGGCGAATATATAGTAATATTACATTTACAAGCAAGTCCCTTTCTCCCACATATACGACCACTCCTTGCCCCATAATTGGCTGGCCATCGGTGACGTGGAAAGGGAGTGGTGCACATGTCCCCCCATTAGTCCTAGCCACTCAAGCCCCTGCTCGTGGCTCCTCAATGACTGCTCTTCCAACCCGCTTATAGGCTCGGTTGGCCAGCAGGTATCCCCCATTTTGCTATATTTTTATTTTAATTTATTTTTATCTATTTATCTTAAAAATAAGACTATAAAAATCATATAAGTTTTTAGAAAATCACATAATTAGCCAAAAATTCACATTAATCGACTGAAAACTACTTTTCACACTTTAACATAAATATAAGTCTATTTATCATAAGTTAAGACTAAAACTATATTATTTACTAATTATTAACTCATGATAATGAAGACTTATCAATGGTTCTTTAGCAACATGAGCTCCACAACTCATGCCTTCGACAGACATGTAGTATCCTTCTAGAGCAACTACCGACAAAATCTTGGAAGCATGATTAGTTGAATAGAAATTTTAGATTGTGTACAATAAATTGTTGGGCAGAACTTTATTTTCACCTGAATCATTGTTCTTCGAGTGTTGATGTTTGCATCATAATTTCTTCTTTTTCTCTAATTTTTAAAAGGATTATTTTACAATCTTTTATTCCAAAACTTATAGAACATCATATTCTTTAAAAATATTTTGAAATTTTACATGATATAATTTTACATCCCTTGATCAGTCTTGAAAGTTCTCACTATTTTTAGAACTTTTTATAAAATTAGAATTGATCTATGTTTGCATAAATATTTCTATATTTCAAAAATTAGTATTTTCTGATTTTATAAATTTTAAAATTTACATGATTTAATAAATAATAGCCAAGTCACGTCAATCATACTTAGAGGAGATTGTTTAACTAATCTTTAATGCATGTCTTATGCTGATGAGTTATTGTCTAGAATATATGCTTATAACTTTTATTCATACTTTAATTCAGATCATTCAAGTCGTATGTTTTTCTTGACAAAGGGGGGAACGGCCAAAATACCGATCTCAAGGAACTCAAATGATATGTTACTATTCAAGCTGCATGGGCTTGATTTTGAGTTTTCTACTGCATAACATGTCTTTCATAGATAATCTTTATAACATATATGTTACTGATTTTTTTGATTTTGAGTTTTTTACTTTATAACATATTAGTTTCATAAAACTTGTTTCACACAAGGTGCATGAGATCGATTTTGAGTTTCTTTTAGAGATTCGTGGTATTTCATCAAACAATTTTCTTTGAGTCTCAATTCAAGTTGGTCACTTTCTCTTGTTATTTTCTCTACATAAGTATTTAATGTGCCATTATGTAGGTTATTTGACAAAAACTTTTCCTCTACCTCTTTAACTCCATGCAAGTAATTAAACTTAGCTGCCATATAGGACTTAAGGTTAAGTCCTACTTTAGTCATAATGTTCTTTAGTTCATAGGTTCCTTCCTTCTTAACTTCTTATGACTATCTATCATATATAGTGAAAGATGCATGATCTATGAAATTCTCACTAAACATCTCATACAATTGATAGACTTTATCTTCATCCTTATTCATCAAATTACCTCCACACATCACATCAACCATCTATCTATTTTACTTTGTTAATTCATCATAAAACACTATTGATTTATCATTTTGGTACTTCATGATGTGGACATTTCCTAAGAAGTTCCTTACATTTAAAGGTAAAAAATAATATATTTTATATTAAAATATAATAAAGGAATATTAAAAATATAAACATGCTATAAAGTATGTAAAAACCATACATTAAGCACATCTTTCACATAATTAATCTAAATTATGCTTTACTTGATTTCTCCTTAAATATATATATTTAGCATGAATTGACACACCAAATATAGTAATTATGCATTACTTATCACATAAAAGTGATGTTTTGTCACTCACCAATGGGGTGATAGTTCAAGAGATTTTCCTACCTCTGTATAGTAAAACTCTGAAACAAGTCCCCCTTTACATTAGTGGAGGAAACCCTAATATCCCAATTTATTGCTTAACATTATAAAAAATATTATTCAATTTTGATTCCCTACCAACAAATTGAGCTATTTATGCAAACAATATTCTTCAATTAGACTCTTGCATCCTTGAACCATCAAGCTATTAATTTTTTAGTTTCTCAATCAAATGAGTTATGTTCTCATAATTTATTTCTTAACATTATAAAAAATATTATTCAATTTTAATTCCCTACCAACAAATTGAGCTAGTTATGCAAACATTGTTCTTCAATTAGACTCTTGTATCCTTGAACCATCAAGCTATTAATTTTTTAGTTTCTCAATCAAATGAGTTAAGTTCTCATAATTTATCAAATGAATTAAGTTTTCTTTTTCCCTACACACTCTATACTTTACTTTTTTACTTTCATTATGGGAATATGATAATTCTTCTTCACATTGAATCATAGATTGATAATTGATTAGGTTGAAATTCAGAAAAAGTTATAACTTAATAATTTTCAATGACCCATATCCCTAAGTAGAAAGCAAAGATTTTTTCAATTACTCAATTACCATGTGGGAAGTTAAACGAAATGGCTTTAAACATAAATAAATAAATAAACCAATAACTATCCACACTTGAGATTACGGGTGCCAATGAGCGATCCCCCCATGAAAACCAAAACCTAACCTCATAAAGCCAATGGCCTATAAAATACTCATATAAATAGCCCAAGGTCTGGATGCGACACCTCTAGGATGGAGGCCAAAGGCAAGGTAGGCTTAGACTGACCCCGTGACACTGCTGGAACTCTGAGGTTAGCTACACGAGAGGATATCTTGCGACGTTTTATTCGTCATACAAGAACTCTCCAGGGACCTAACAGTAAAAAGCAGTAAGAAAAATCTACTTTGTCCTGAAAGTTGGTGGGGCCTGACCCAGCCGTTCCAAGAGGCCGGGCCCTCGCACTCAGCAGACGACAAGCGGGAGAGTAGATGCTGGGACCCCGCCGCAAGGGATTTCCGTCGAACAACTGGCGGGCCACACGACAAACCGGTCGCATGTGCACCCATCAAGGACGTTGCAGGGGCCACTCACCAACGGCGCGCCCCTCACGGCCACATGAGGAGCTCTCAGGGAAAGGCGATCAGATAAGTGGGGTGGGGCAAATCTACTTCCCCTCCTCTTCATCCATCTCTCTGATCGACTGAGCAGTGCGACAGCAGACGAGAGAGAAAGAGAGAGAGAAAGGTGGAGATAGAGGTGGTGCGGTGGGTCCGTTATCGACTGAGCATGTGGCGGCTTTAACTGCCTGGTACCTGACAGGTCTGAAAAGCATGCGGCCTCGGTGCCACGTCAGCTCGGTCTATCATCGACGTCAAGAAGTCTGCGGTGGGTCAAATCTTCGTCAAAACAGTCATCTCTGATCATCTGCCTGTGATCTCAGGGACGCGAGAATCTAATCTAATAAACTTTTAATAGTATTTCTGGAGATTTTCATCCGATTCAATGGAGGCTGACTGCCAGGCGGCCAGCCCATTCTCACTGACGTCGGCGAGTGCAGAGAGGAGTGGAGTCCAACCACTGAGATCACTCACGGCTGCGGCGGGGGAAGTAGGCGGGCTTCGCCGTCGACCAAGCATGCCGCAGGAGATGGATAAAAGCGATGTAAATGAATCACGCACATCATCTGGTCCGTGAGGCTCAGGCTGTGGAAGAATCCTTCCTGCTCGGGCCGAAAGCATGCAGTCGACAGTCATCGCGTAGCCAGGGATAGAAGGATTCGTGAGACGAAGAAGAAGACGAGAAGATCAAGGAGGAAGAGGAATCCGAAGTCCGTCACTTCCGCTGTCCCGGAAATGGCGGAATCGGCCGTCCGAAGTCGAAACGCAGTGAAACCGAAAGAATTTCGACGACAGAAAGGACGGTGGTGGATCGGTCGACTAACCTCGTGAGTTAGGAGAGCAAGCGAGACCGTCCCCTCCGCTTCCTTTCCATCCTTCGGAGGGAACTCGCTGGCCGCTGTTCAGAAAGAGGATCATCTCCGAGGTACGTTGCGGTGGCGCAGAGCATTACAAAGATGAAGGTACAGATCTGCGGAAGGAGAGCTCAGTAGGAGAGAAACCTTTGGGCAATCGAGAGGAAGGAGAGGGGTCGAGGAAGAGGAGAGGAGGAGCCGGGGAGAGCCTGCTGAATTTATCTACAGAGCTCTCCTCCTATTTCGGCTTCGCTTTTATACATACAGAGGCAGTGGGTGGGCAGGAATTCATATGCCTGGAGTCCAAAAGCTCCAAAAACGGGAGTTGAAGAAGAGCGTCACGTCCGCCCAGCCCCGATTCCTCTCACCTCCCTCCGGCGCCGCCACCGCCACCGCCACTGTCACCGCTGCCAGCTCCTCGCCGGCGGCGTCATCTCCGGCACCGACCTGCTCCACCAACGCCTCCGCCGCCGCCGCCGCCGCCGTATCCCCTCTGTCTCCCACCTTCTCCACGCTTGTTCCTTCCTTCCTCGCCTCGCTCTTCCCTTTCTTCGATCGATCCCTCCGCCCGCCACCTCTGCGGCCGAGGCGGTCGCGGCGCCGCTCGTCGCCAGCGAGCTGCTCCTCGAAGGCCTCGATGGCTTGGTGGATGAGCTCGCGGTCGGGGGAGGAGTCCCAGCGCAGCCAGTAGCTCGTGTAGCAGTCAAAGCAGCCGCAGCAGAAGAGCGGCCGGTGGTGGCTTCCCCGCCGCCAGCACCGCCGCTTCTCCTCCTCCTCCACCTCCGCCGGCCACGGCCCCAGCAGCGACCGCGCCACCAGGTACGCCAGCACCTCCCTGTCCTCCGCCCCCAGCGCCGCCGTCACCGCCGCGATCGCCGCCGGCAGCAGCTTCAGCACCGCCTGTGCGTCGGATGGCCCCGACCACGGCGGCGACGGGTGGATCCTCCCTTTGGCTTTGGGCTGGGGACTCTTCATCTCTCCCCCTCTCGTCTCGCTCTTCCTCTTAAGAAACGAATCGGAGAGAGATATTCGGGCTTCTTAAAGCCCTGGAGAGAGAGAGGGGGAGAGAGAGTAGGTGATGGGTGATGACTTTTTAAAGGATACTTCATATTGGTTTGTGCACTTGTTGGCTACGAATGAAGAGAAAGAGAGCGCTGGAGCTGTTGAAGGATACCACTTATTGGTAACGAATGAAGAGTGGAGTCGACCGATATATAATATTGGTAAAGGATACTACTTTCGGACACCTGTCGCTGACTGCAATCACTGCGTCCACATGATAAAGGATAGTACTCATAGTTAAGGATACCGTTTTCCAATGAAGCTCGTCTGGATAAACACCCTGGCACAGGGTGACGCAGCAACGACTAGCGGTTGACGCGGTAACGTTACCGGATATCCAAATTATCAATCAAGCCGATGTGATTACCGAAGGCTGCGGTGAGTAGACCGTACGTGTGCGGCGTCCAAGAGCCAATGAATGGCTGACTGAAAAGTCGACACGTATCGACAGAGGACCGTACGTCATGACGAAGCAGCTAGAGATCCACTTCGGCTCTGTTTGCAGCCATCGCCTTCGTTACTGCACATCAAAACCCCATCCTGTCTCTCTCTGCTCTCCCCAACGGCCATACCGTTAAAAGGCCCATTTATGAGGTTGGCCCATTAATTGTAACTGACGGTTCGGCCCACTTTCCGCCGAGCTTGGGGATCAAATCAAGTCCTTGAGAGACATACCCTCCACGTGGCAGTAGCCAGCCCCCCTCCTCTCTCCCCTCAGCTTCTCATTTTCAGGGTTTTTTTCCTCCGGGCCGTGGTGGGATCGGGCTTTGTATAACTCTCGGCCCGGCCCGTTTTAATGGAGATCAAGTATATAAAAAAGAGGGAATAATTCACAGGATTGAGTACCTAAGCCATTAGAAGGCAAAAGAGTCAACTTTGGAAACAACAAACCCTCCTCGCGTTTCGTCTTAATCCGATTTCTTCTCCTCGTGGGGTTTCGCCTCGGGCTCCGGCGGCGGCGCCACCGCATCGGCGGCCGGCGGCGGTGGGCGCTTGTCCGCCGGCGTCTTGGGCAGCAACTCGTTCCTGTCCTTGAAGTACCGCTCGAAGGCCCGCGGCAGGAAGCGGGGGATGAGGAAGGTGAAGAGGTTGACGGAGAAATAGGCGAGGTTCGCCACCGCCAGCCCCCTCCCAAACCACACCCACGCAGCCTCCTGAAAAACAAAAAATAGTGAGGTCTTATTCCCCACTTCAGCTACCCAACAAAGTGAGTGAGAGTGAGAGTGAGTAAGTGAGTGAGTGAGAGAGAGAGAGAGAGAGTCACAAAACTTTTAGTTGCACTCGCATGGGTGAGACTCTGAGAGAGGGAGAGAGAATTTTTGAGTTGGGTGTTGACCCTGAAAGGGGGGGCGGGGGGGGCGGCGGGGGGGAGTGGCTTGTGAGTCCAGACGTCGGAGACCCAGTCAATGATGACGAAGATCCGGCGAACGGTGTAGAGCAGCGGGACGAGCGCCCTGACGGGCGGCGAAAAGGCCCCTCCGAGCCCGCTGAGCACGTTCTCCGTCAGTATTTGGAACGACAACAGGAACAGATGGGGCGTCGCCGACCTCACCCCGTGCTCGTCCCCCCTCGCGAACCCGCCCAGCACGTACGCCAGCGGCAGGAATAGCCCCACCGTCGTCCCCACTGCCGTGTACACCCGGAAGCCCCGCCCGCCGCGGAGAACCTCCGGCGAGGCGGCGGCGGCGCCAGAGGAGGGAAAGGCAAAGCGGGAGAGGGCGAGGAGGTAGAAGGAGACGAAGGCCGGGTAGGCGAGGTCGAGCAGGGAGACGAGCCCGCTGGCGGAGAACACCACGATGAACGCCACCAGCTGCAGTTCGATCACCCTCAGCGACCCCATCACACCGCCCACCGTCGCCTCCTCCGCCGCCGGCCTCTTCGCCGCCCCCTCCGGCTCCGTCCGTGGTGCCACGGCTAACGATACGCCCGACATCTAGAGAGAAAGAGAGAAAGAGAGAGAGAGAGGCTTTCTCTTTCTTCTTTCCGAAGATCACGAAGATCGTGATTTTAGGTTCGTTCCTCCTGCATGGATAAAACGCGGTGGAGCGAACACGTGACCATGTCACAGCCAGCTTACGAATAGATCGGGTGGCACGTGTCACCAGAGCCTGACCTCGTGCGTCCTTGAAGGATTTTTAAAGCCACGTCACAAGCCCCTTTATAACCTCTCCTATGATGTACGACGGAAACACCCAAGACGAACGGCCAAGAGGGCCCAAAACAGTAACTAGAGTATTTTCACCGGCCCATATAAAGCCGGATTATTTTCTGTTTTCTTTAACAATAAAGATAAATCCACCGCATAATTTATTAATTTTTGGCGATAATTAATTTCTCTATCATGGTGCCTGACTCCAATTTACTGGGCAATACAGAAAACTTTAAAAAATTAATTCTGCATCTGCACGGCATTAAAAACCTTCCTTTCATTGGGTCAAGCGGAGCTTATGAAGAAGATTATTAAGAGCTTATGGGGATGCCTGACGGGCCCGGCACGTCGTAATTGCTCTCAACTGAACGAACGTAGGAGAAATATACAAATACTATGTACCCCAAAAATACAGAGGAAGGGAGGGCAAGTTACCTGCCCCACTTGAGAACACCTGTACATCCTGACTGACGATCAACAAGATGTATGGACATATGCCTATCATAGAGAGAGAGAGGAGAGGTTACTCTTCCTGTTCAACGGAATCTTCCTCGTCTGCCATCATCCAATCAAGCTTAGGTCCCTGCGGAGTTGAAGTACAGAATAACAAAGGAATAACACAAAAAGCTAGTGAGTACCCCACCAGAAAATACGAAGGGAGGATAAAGAACCCAGGGACCTCTCTAAATCGGGCCGTCGACGGGGTCGGGCCTGGGCCGGACTAGAGAGGCCTCGGCCAAGCCCAAAGAAAAGCCCATTAAGGCCCATACCTTCCCCAGCCGAACAACGGTTGGAGATCCCGCCGTCATATCGACGACCGTGGAAGGATCGGCCAAGCGAACCCCACCATCCACAACAAAGTCCAGCCCCTACAAGTCAACGGGATGAGACTAGTTAGAAAGCAGAGGAGTCAAGAACAGATAGTGTACAGCTTATATGTACCTCTGGCTCATAGACGTCGGCGATCACGACGGGGTCCAGAATGCTCTGGTCCTTGGTGGGCCACTCCACGCTAGAGAGAGAGAGAGAGAGAGAGAGAGAGAGAGAGAAGAGAGAGAAGACCCACAATAGTTACACGTCCGATCATCAGCTGTCCAAAATGGGAAGGGGAAGGGCCTCACCTGGTGCATATCAAGGGCGCATCCAGCATGTTCAGTATGGCCTGACAGATGGGGTCATCTGGGATGCGCACACCGACGTGCTTCCGCCACGAACACATGGTCGTTTTCCCGTGCGTTATGCACTGCTTCGGTAGCTGCTTGCTTGCAGGTAGAATAAATGTATACTGCGACATGAAACTAGCTGGTTATTTCAAGTTATCTCTGATGGAGTCGGTCGGCTTGAAGAAAAGAAAAAGCCAGAGATGCTGTTCCTCACCGGGCCGGGCAGACACTGCTTGACGGCTCGGAATATGTTCGTCTGCCCGTGGTCGTTGCCGCGGGGGAATCCCATGGAGTACGTGTCTATGTCGCGGAGGGAGCGGCATAAGATACTGAGGGGCTGCATTGGCAGTGAGATTCTCAGATTACGGGAGTCATAGTAAAAGAAACATGGCACGGTGCCGAGGGTTCCCCCCCAAGAAAATATGAACGGATGGGGGCCTGCATATGATGCACACTTTGGAGCGGAATCACCGCGTTATTGTTCTTGCCTTGGAGTCTTCGATGCCTTTGATTCTGTGAAAGAAAAATACAAAAAACTGCCTGAAAAATCTGTGGGCACGTCGAGAGTTCAGACATTAACAGCAAGGTGGGAAGAAATTACCTGCGAAGGCGCTCAATGGATGAAGGACTTTTCACATCACATACGATCGCATAGCTGACCTCTCAAAAGACGGAAAAGGAATCAATTATTTGCAGAAGAACCATAAGATCTGAAAACAGTTGATTTTTTAATGATGTAATACAATCACCACTTCCTGTAATCAGACTACATTTTTCAATGCCTTGGAATTATAATTCGATACTGATCTTAGATCGTCTTGGTGCAAAATAACTGATACACGATACAAGAGTAAACTATTTGTTAGCTATTTCTTTACCCAGGTACGTATGGGCGTATGACGGAGGATAAGCTTTTGAAACCTAGTCAAATACTTTTTTTTTTAAAACTTCTAATTCAGGAGATGATGAATACTTCACATATTATGGTCAGTATTGTTTACCAGTAGAAGTATTGGGAACAAATAAGATCAAATTCTATGGCATAATATTTTGGGAGATGCTCTAGAGGTCGAGATGTTTCCAGGGATACATGGCATCCTTCTGGTTCCATCGTCTGGGAGAATTCTTCGAAAAACTCAAGTTAAATCATAATATCACTTCAATGGTAACGATTTAAGTGGAGAGAAAAAGTTTAAGAAATACGATTAAAAACCATTTCTGAAACTAATCACAAATCAGTTTAGAAAACATGAAAATAATGTCAATAATCAGAACGATTTTTTGCGAACTACTTGCATTCCTAAATGTGATGCATGTTCCCTAAAACAGAGTCACCTAATGATCCATTTCTTAATCTAACCCTGTCATGTTGTTGAGAAGCTATAAAACAAAGAAATCGGACTCTGTGCAACTTTTTTTATGAGAGGTAGAGAAGAATGGGTTAGAAAAAGATGACAAGTGTACTGACTGCACCTTGATAGCTAAGCCCACCATTCCATAACATCATTTGACGTAACATGGATGTTCTTTCCAGGCCTTCTCTTTCTTGCATTCCAATGATTTCACAACCAACTGAGTGGCTGGTAATCTACCCAACTCTCAGGACAGCAATTTTCAATCCGATGAAAATGCTAAACCCAACGGTGCTTAAAAAACTGTCATGTAAGGATCACAATATTTATAATAGAGTAAATGTTTTCTTTCAGCAAGGAGGACTAAGTTCGTATATACCATTCGGAAATAAAAGGTTTCAGATCCCTAGCCTCCAACACAACGATCGATTATAGTGAAAGCAAAGCAAGTAAGCAAACCCAGAATAAGAAAGGGGTATGTGCGTTTCGAGAGTGGGGAAAGGGAGAGTGGAACATGCCAAAACTTCGAAAACGGCTTTTAAGATCCACTTAGACAGAAGCAAGTTCTTGAAGATTTTATGGGCTGTAGAATACACTATAGCATGTACGGTACGTTTGGCTCAGGCAGCACACACATCTCAATGTTTCCAACCTACCTCCATATCTCTACTCCTACTCTAGTGTTGGACCTTCTATTTTCTCTGTATCAAGGTAGACAGCAGAAAAGGAGTCCTTGTTTTCTGAGTGTAGTTTAAATCATATCTGATCCACGTTATAATTATTTGGACTATATAATGCGATTGATCATAAATCTTGATGACGATCAAAATAATTGGCACATTTGACACCAAGAATCCTATGGTCCAATCACAAATGATCTTCAAACAGTATTACGATTGTAGTTCAAATGACAAAAATGAGTTGGCATGCAAGCTTCACAACAAAAGATCCATCATCCAAAATTCCTTCAAGTTTTGATCTCCAACACTCAATAAAATAGGAAATTGGCATGAATGTCCTACAAGCTTAATCTTTGACTTCACCGCTTCATCTCAATTGAGCAGAACATCAACCAAAAATTAGAAAGAAATATCACCAAAACCCATATGTTCCTTCTGCAGCAGAAGGTGCGACAGTAAAAAAAGGGTAAAAAAATAGCGAATAGAATTTAAAAAAAAAATAAAGGAACCTCAAAAACCAAGATCATACAAGCAAACACCGACCACTTACATGTTATCGTCACCCACATAAGACCTCTTTATAGTACCTCCTTGGTGTACTACAAGGATTTACAGCATGCCTATTGGTGATTGAGTTTCTCATATTCTAGGCTTAGAATGATGAGTCAAAGACTTCTTGCAATCCAAATTTGGATTAAAAATTTGAGGAAAAGATAGGGAAGAAATATGTGACAATGATCTGTTCAGAATTTCAGTCTATCTATTGCCTTATAATTTCTTTCTTTTGATTACTTACATGTTGACCATTTAACAACACAAGCACAAAAAGAGATAATATCAATGATTTTGAATCAATTACGAATTTCATAAAGCTCTGAACATATGAGCAATCCATTTTTTTATCATTTCCTAAAAACACCAAAGGTGAAAAATGAATTCTCTGTTCGTTTGAATATTTTCTGTTTTTTTAATCTTCAGATCCTTATGACCCAATGCCACTACCATAAGAGATCTTCAAAAACCTCTTGGCCACAAATTACCTTCTCCAAAATTCATATCACATGATAATGATCATTTCCTGACCTCTTGGCAGATGCCACCTTAATTAAAGATAAACATGCTCGACAGATTCATCGACGAAAAAGAAAGTACTTAAGACCAGACGATAGTTGCATGATAATAGGAATGTTCTCAATGCTCATCTGTTTGTCAAAGCCCGTTGGGAAGTACTAACCCGACAAAGCAGCATTAGCAAAAAACTCAACAGAAAGAGAAGACTGCGTCAATTAAATGCAAGAATCGTACACAGTGTCTGTCGGGATGACACCCACGGCACCTTCCTTGATGAGTTCAACAACACGCTCCAGCTTCCAACTGTCAGAGCCCGATGGGTCAACCTCCACATAAACCATCTCCTCCCCCTTCTATTTCGTCCACACCACCATTCCAAGAAGCCCAATCGACACAAGCCGAAAAAACAGAGAGATTAGCCGTCAGAAAAATGAGGAAAACAGGCAATATAGCTCCGGGCCGATAATTCGGAAACGCCCACTGCTCAGTTAGCGATCACCTTGTTGAGGCGCTGAGAGGAATACTTGAGGCGCTTCGGGCTGCGCTTCAGAAGCGCCAGCGTAGGAAAATACAAGGGAGAAGACCTAGGCAGGCGAAGCCGTGGGGAGGGGAGAAACACCGCAACCGACCTACGGAAGGAAATGGACGACGCCACTACCGCCGCGCAGCCGCATGGCATCAGATGAGACGTCATCTCCGGCGGGAATGCCGGCAGGAGATCGGAGAATGATCAGACCGAGCGACACGATCGTTGTCTCCGGCAAGCGTGTGGCGGGAAGCGGAGAGAAGATGAGAACGGATGCCGAAGATGAAGAACATTCGAGATTCCAACAAACCTCCCCACGAGCAACAGACGCAGGACAATCCGGTGAGGAAGATATTTGGATCGTCTTAAAGGGCTTTTATCGGGCTTGTTAATGGGCCTAAGCGGGCTCGGATTCAAAATTAAATGGGTTTATGCATGATAAAATTCTTTAAATTGCGTTTATAGAATTTGTTAATTTTAGTGGGTTTTTGGAAAATTAACTCCGTATATTGGTCCCTATGGAGTCTCAGTTGCTGACGAAGGATGAAGAAAGATAATTTAGTCGTATTAATAGGCTTTTAACGGGGTTTTAACGGGCCAGAATGGAATGGGATTGAAAATCAAATAATGAGTAAACAACGCCAAATCGGGCCAGAATTGTTTTATTTAAATGGAGTTTTATTCTTGTGGCGTCGACGGTAGGTCTCAGTTGTTGACGAGGCGTTGAAATCCGGCGGAGCAAAGACAGCAGAGCGGTAGCTGCGAGCGTCTTCTTCCTCCGCCCTCGGAGCAGTCTGGTGGCGGCGGAGGCCATGAGAGAGCTTCAGACTTAGCCTGTGGAAGGTACCTTCCGCGACTCCAAAAGATCTCCCTTCGCCCTTCCATCTAGGCCCTCCCTGTTGGGGTCTTCCAGGGTCCGTTGAGGGCGCTTGCGCGGCATGACGACGCAGGAGGAGGTGGAGGAGAGGGTGTTAGCGACGGCGCAGCAGATAGTGAAGAACCTCGGCACCTCCTCGGACATGAAGGAGGACATGATCTTCATTCTTTCCAACTTCGATAATCGATTTTCCAACATCACAGACCTCTTCTCCAGCAGCGGCGGCGACCGGCTGGAAGGTCGCCTCGATACGGCCGAAAAGGTAATCTCCCAGTGGGGGTGTTCCTCCACCTTGGGTTCGGGGCGTGATTTCATCCCCTGGGAGGATTTACCCGACGTCGCCGCTGAGTACCTTGCCGCCGTCGACGACGTTATCGCGATAACGGAGGAGGCAGAAGGGAATCAGGGGGGTGGACAGCCCGTTGATACCCTTGATCGGGCAGACAGAGTGCTCCAGATGGCCATGGATCGGCTAGAAGATGAGTTCCGTCACTTTTTGATCCAGAACACTGTCCCGCTTGATGCAGCCCGCCTTTATGGATCGATCAGGAGGATGTCGCTCTCTTTTGCTTCCGACGGTGGAGAGACCATCGAGGATCTTGTAACCTCTGAGGAGGAGCTTGACGCTTCATTGGAGGATAGGTCTACTGGTGGGAGCCTGTCGAACCTCCTCGATATTGATGTAGTGCGACCTGAGGCTGTCCCTCACCTCAAGAGTATCGCTGATCGGATGATTCGATCAAGGTACGAGAGGGAATGCTGCCAAGCTTACAGTGGTGTCCGGCGTGATGTCCTGGACGAGTGCCTTGCAACCCTTGGCGTTGAGAGAATGAGCATTGAAGAGGTGCAAAGGATGGAATGGAAGGAGTTGGATGAGAAGATGAAAAAATGGATCCATGCCGTTAAGGTTGTGGCCCAGGCCCTCCTCCTTGGCGAAAGACAGCTCTGTGATCAGATATTTGAAGCGTCCCCATTGGTTGCAGATGCCTGTTTCACAGAGACAACCAAAGGGTGTGTGATGCAGTTGCTTAATTTTGCAGAGGCTGTAGCAATCGGGCAACGGTCGCCTGAGAAGCTGTTCAGAATACTTGATATGTACGATGCACTCTCTAGTGTCATCCCTGACTTGGAAATAAGGTTCTCTGAGGAGACAAGGGAGTTTTTATGTAGTGAAGCAGATATAACACTGAAGAGGCTGGGGGATGCTGCAAAAGGCACGCTTGCTGAGTTTGAGAATGCCGTTCAGAGAGAGACCTCGCAGAAGCAGCTGCAGTTTGGTGGCATCCATCCTCTGACACGTTATGTGATGAACTATGTAAAATTGCTTGTGGATTACAGCGGCACACTGAATGGGTTGATGAACCAAGATGGAGATGCTGGAGAAGATCCAGCAGTCGAACATCATGATGACAACTCACATGGGGGGAACATGTCCCCATTGGGCTGCCATGTGCTCTCGACGGTCTCATATCTGGAGTCTAATATTGCAGAAAAGTCGAAACTGTACGAGGACAGTGGATTGCAGTATGTTTTTTTGATGAATAATATACTTTATATGGTTCAGAAAGTGAAGGATTCTGATCTTGGGGCTCTGTTGGGAGATGAGTGGATCCGTAAGCATCGAGGTCAGATACGGCAGTATGCTAGGAGCTATCTCAGGGCATCTTGGACCAAAGTTCTACATTGTTTGAAGGACGAAGGAATTGGTTTTAATAGTAGCTCTGGCAGTGCATCGAAGGTTGCTCTGAAGGAAAGATTCAAGAATTTTAATTTTGCGTTCGAAGAGGTTTGCAGGAACCAGATGACTTGGAAGGTCCCAGATTCACAACTCCGGGAAGAGCTCAGAATTTCTATTTCAGAGATGGTGATTCCAGCTTATCGCTCGTTCATGGGCAGGTTTGGAGGTTTTCTGGAAGGCGGACGGCATGCTGCAAAATACATGAAATATACCCCAGAGGATCTAGAGAGATATCTGCTGGACTTGTTTGAAGGCTTGTCTGGACCATCTAACCACTCAAGGAGAAAACTTAGCTCATGATCATGGGTATTCTCATCTACGGGTATGGGTTTACTCTCGTGATAGATATAGTCAGGTTTGCCGATCCCCAATCAAATCGGCCCACGTTTTATAATGTTCTCTTTTTACTGTTGATTGTAGTAGAACTACCAGACTGTCTGATACTTTCTAGGACTAAAATGTAATGGCAGTAACACTGTACATGATATTCCCCCTCCTTTCCTCCTGTCTGATCCATCAAGTATGACTGTCTATTTAATCGTATCTTGGCTGGTACTCTACGAGAAAACATGGACACAAAACTAATAAGTTTTAGGCAAATGCCATCTCATGAATATGAACTCTGTCAATCTGCCAGAAAATATATCTGGTTCCAGTATTCTCTATGCTCCTGGTTTTTCATTTCTTCTCTATAGTCTAGCCATCTCTTTTGGCTCATTTAATTCTTCGTAAATCAGAACCAATTTGCCATAGTTGTTGTCTCCCTCTGCTCTGCTTCAGGGGCTGATCAGTGATTCTGGTTCCGGTATTCTTTTCTGTTGAAAATATATGAATAAAGTAGTTGACGTGAAGAAAACACCCTCATCTTACATTGCTTGATCCACTGAGAAAACTTGATGGTGTATGTTTACAATGAAAATGAAGATTTCCATGGCAACTTGAGTGCTGAAAGAGATGCCAGGGGGGGGGGGGGTCTGAATCCATATCAAAAATATTAGGGTTTCTTTTCAAACCAGAAGAGCCAATGTTTCAACCCATTTGAACTGTAAGTTACCCAAATTGGGTCTCCTCTTGGTTGATCTTACTCACGGTGAATAAGAAACCCTTGATGACCGTTGAAATTCATGGAGTCTCTTTCACCCATCAAACAATCTGGAGGATAATCCGTTCATGTCAATGGATATGCTCATCTTTACAAGAACTTCCCATTAAACACTGGCTTCTCATTAGTCATCTCTCTCTCTCTCTCTCTCGCTCGCTCTCTCTCTCTCTCTGGATATATATCTACATATGGAAAGTCATGGTTCAGCAGACAGAGATAATGCACGTTTTAAATCTTTGTTTTCCACGTGTTCTTTTAAGCCTTGTGGTGAATAATGGTCTTGTCATTCTTCTCGTCCTTTTTTTGCCTGAGGGTTTCATTGGAATGCCCATGCATATTCTTGACCGTGTCTGGGAGTGTTGACCCATTTTGGGAAATAGTTTGTATAGGGATTTGATGATGATTTTTCTCCGGTATAATTGTAATACGGGAAAGTTATGCAGGTTTCACTAATAAACTACATTTTTTGGGATTTTATTAGACTCCTAAAATTTTAGAGAACCCAGAATTTGTGAATCTCTGGTTTGAGTTGTGGGTGCAAAAAAAATAAATAAAAGGATTTTAAAAAACCATAAAATTATGTAAATAAATTATATATATACTCGTTGAAGACAGGATATTAAAGAATTTGCGAGGACACGCCTGCCAAGAATGATCATAAATGGTGATATGGCGGGTTGACAAGCAGCTGGACCTTTGGGCTTCTCAATCGCCCAGGCTAGGGCACTTTTTAAGTGATTTGTGCTCGTGATCTTCAATAGATGAGCGCGCGCGCGCGCGTGCGCGCGAGAGAGAGAGTGTATGTACGTATACCCATATGACCCCAAGATACGTATGGGGTGTCTTTTATCATATTATAGTATTATGTTGGTGAGGATGCAAAATAATGAAGCAAAATTGCGATTTTTTTAATTTACTGTCTAAAAGTCCTCAAGGAAAATAAAATGAAGCTGGAGATGGAGAGAGAGATGAAAAGAATTCGATGCGTGATGTTAGCTATAGTAGACACTATATGTTCATATTTATTTACAATTAATATTAACTTAGTAGAAATTACATGCTTGTGCTGTGGTTTATTGGATGTCACTTTATCAGCTTTTAGGTCTCTATATTTTTATTTTTTTCAATTATATGCTCTTGTAATCACCTAGTTTACCTAATTTAAATCATCTCTCTCTCTCTCTCTCTCCTTCCCTCCCTCAAAATCATAAGTATGCTCTGGGACGTTAATGGGCCGGGCTTGCTTTAATTGTGAGAAGTTTCCAAATTGTTATTATTTTATAATACCTCTGATTGGCAAATATGGCCAAACATATTTTTTAAAGAAATTCCCAAAAATTGAAATTAGCAATTTAAATATTCATATCATGATATAAAATCCATTTTGTGTACATATATTTCGTTGTCTTTTTGTACTTTTCGGCCAATTAGCTAGCCCAGCTCGGCCCAATCTTTGTTTACGGGTCTATTAATGGGCCATATGGGCCTATAGGAACTGGGTTCTCTGTAGAAATGGGCCTTGTTGCCTAATGTTCTCGCCCGTCACACTCCTACAGTAATAAAGCTTCTCGTTATCGGTTGAACCGGCAACCAGTCAACTCGTCTCTCGACTACCCTTGCTCGGAGCGGGTTCGGACGACTCCGGTCCGACGACCCGGGACCGTTACGTTTGGACCAACTGCTATGCAGGTCAGCTGGAACTGGATTCCAACTTGGATCGGATCTACTTAACGGGGTCTAATAAGCGCAATCGGATTCGAATGACTCAGATAGCCGAACAGAACGCTGACTGAGGCTTTTCTAAGCCGCGGAGACTTCCCCCCCCCTCTTCACTGAGTCGAAGCTTCCGAGTTGCTCTCCGGCGATCGCTTCCATGGCGCGCCACGGCGATATCAACCCTCAGAAGCTCCTCAAGGAAGAGTATGCATGGCTTCCCTCCCTTTTTATTGGACGAGGATGAAGTAACGGAAGATGATGAGTATTTGAGGTTTCGGAGTGCTGAGCGCTCACATTCTCCTGCTTCTTTTTTGTTCTTCTGTTTCTCGGTGGAAACTATCGTCTCTCAGATTCGTGAGTGGCCTTACCGGATCTTCCATGCTTGAGATTTCTGCCTTGTCCACGATCGTCCCGGTGAGCTTTTGGCTGTTTCATCTTTCTTTTTTCTCCGACAACTCGATTATGATAGCGTAGTTTTCTATATAATAATTTTGTTCGGACGGGGTGTGCATATTTTGTCCAGGCTGTGGCGGTTCTTCGGCAATGGAGTGGTTTCTGCAATGGAACTTGTAAGTGTACTGTTTTTGTGATCTGTTTTCCACCTTTCGAGTCTTTGAATATGGTTATTATTCGACTGGTTTTTATTATAAAATTCTTTGAATTTATGCTCGCTGATGTTTTTGCAGGCGCAAGTAGGCCGAAGAAGAAAGACGATGGAGATATGGCCGATTCTGGTAGAAGTTGGAGAAGATACATAGCCTCCCTCACTGTGGACTATATCTTTGTCATCCTGCCGATTCTTTCGACTCTCACCGTAAGGTCATCCGGTATTTTAGCCATAGGAGAAAGGTTTACAATTTTAATTTTTAGGTGATAATGCCAGCTTATTTTCTCTCAGGTCCTCGCTGACTGGGTCTACATGTGTACCATTGCTCTGATGTTCTTACTTCTCTGGATTTTAGCAAAAAGGTGTGCCCCCTGAGTTAATTTTATTTATTAATCTACTCAGCATATTTATGACTGTTATACTTGCTGCCCGAAGATTAGGTTTAGTGGTGTATACAAAGGTAAAGGTCAAAAAATTCTATGCATGTGATTAAAGATAGCTCTGTTGGAGCTATGCCAAATATGACGAAAGTTTGTGAACTTTCGATCCTAGTTGATTTGCATCACATGTCACCCTGAGCTCTTTCCGCTTATCCTCCTGCAGATAAGCTGATTACACATGCTTAATAAGTGTGTTTTATTTATTGCTATTTGAGGACGTAAATGGCAGTAACGACAGATTAATATATGTGAAGTGTATGGAAGAGTATTTTATGAGCTAAAATACTTGGGATTTGTACAATATGTATAAATGAAAGAGCGCTCAAGCACAGGGTTTCGGTGGAAAAAAAAGAAATATCAGTGCAAATTTCATATGTAAATCGTTGAGAATATGTACAAGGAAAAGTAATAACTCATCTTAGGATGCTTTCTGAGATCCCACAAACAGACGGTTTGCACTGTAGCCATTTAATTATTATTTTATTTTATATGAGTTGACTACATGCTCGATAAGAGTTACCATTGTTTCAGAAATATTGTCAAAGTGTTTAATCTTAATAATCAAAGCAAAGAGATACATGAATGGGACCGTGGACATATAATTCATTCCAAATTCGAATAATAATTCGAATTAGAGTTATGTATATGAATGTGAAAAATGTAATCACAGCTACTTATCTGAAGTGGAAAGCAGCCTTAGATGGTCATCATTTTTCTGTTCGTTTGAAGGTATTGCGTACAAGAACAAGTGTATTAACTTTGTTTTGGTTCAGAGGGTTGGTAGTAAAGAAAAGTAAAATTGATGAGATGAGAACTTCTGAAATGAAACAATAAAGGATGCCAGTTTCTAATTATTCTATTAGAGAGAGAGAGAGAGAGAGAGAGAGAGAGAGAGAGAGAGAGAGAGATCAGAGACTGCAATGCTAGATGATAAAAAATGTATGGATGTTATTTGAGTGGTTTTAGATATGCATGAAAACGAATGACTATTACACCTTTGAGATATATGATTCCAAACGTAAAAGATGAATTATATTGGAATAATAAAAATGATTTCATTTTCTAGCATTGCCACATTATGGTCATGTATGCTGTTAGCTCTCATCAAGTCGATATATATTACTTGTGCTTAATTACTCTTATAATTTCACTTTGACATACTGTAAGATATTCATTTGAGGTCTCCTGAATTCTATTGCTTAGATCTGGACCTTATACTATTGGTCACATGGAAAGCTCTAATACGTCTCCTCTGAGGACAAGTATTTTGTCATACCGTGTTTCTATGGTATGCCGTTTCTTTACTTTCTCAACAAAAGAATTTTTATTCTGTATCATAAGGAGATGTTTTTTCATGTCAGATGATTGTGACCTGCCTGTGCATTTTGGCTGTTGACTTCAAAATTTTTCCTAGACGTTATGCAAAGGCTGAGACCTATGGTACTGGTCTGGTACGTTTGTTTATCTTTTTCCAGTTATTTTTTTATTTTTTTGGTCCTTAGTAATTTATTTTTATACATTTTAATCATTTTTAACTAGTTATCTTGTAGCCTTTGACGTTAATTCTACCATTCTAATATAAATAATGTAATCTCCCAAGGAACATCTCTCTAAAAAATGGTTTGCCAAATCGTTCAGTGAGCAGTGAATTCATTCCCTTTCCAAAACAGCCCACGAGTGGTAAACCCTAGACAGAGATATTTACCTTATCAGGCAACTGCCAGGCTCCACGTCCTTTTACAATTATGAATCCTAGTTTTCAGAAGATGAAGGATAATTACTGCTGCCATTTCGTCCTGTCTAAGCTGTACCCACATTTCGCCAATCTCTAGTGGAGTTATATAGTGAGGAAACGGTATTATTACAAGATTCTCTCCTCAGGCTCACAAAATAGCCTTAGTTTAAAATCAAAACACAATAACTTGTCCAAAAATCTATTTGGCGCTGAAAACATGTATTGGCTCTTGAATGGACTGTCCAGATTTTAGATGAACTAAAAGATCTTAAATGAGCTTGGACTGTCTTAGTTTTTGCATCTCTTACTTCCTGACCCTTTATATCATATTAATAATGAAGAAAATCACTGAGAGCTGTCCCAATGAACATGATTCTTTGTCACTCCTAGTTTGAGGTGGAAGCATCATTGCCTTTTTAACCTCTGTAGCTCATTTAAAACACCAATGCTGCTATGCTATATGAGATGTATTTGAAGACGAGACTAATATTCAGCCCTCAGTGTCAGATTGTGCTGTTTCACAGTTAACAGTTATCACTACTAAATACTAGAGAGATAAAAATCAGATCTAGGTGAGTTCTACTGATTTCTGTACCAGTTCCTATAAGTTATGTGAACATTGTACAAAAATAAATTATGGTTTCATTCCTTCCGATTCCACAATCTAGAGAACTTAAGCAGTTCCTATTAGTCTCTCATTTATTTCACAATTTCAAGTCTTTGCCAGATGGTTTATGGTAATGTGCCAGTCTTCCTTTCTTCCTCATGTGATATCAACTTTCTAATGAATGTGCTAGTTTCAATCTCCCCAGCTTTCACATTTGAAAATAACAATTTTCTTCCTAATAAATTCTAGCCAGTCGACCTTGTTGCATTTATGGAAATTGAATGATGGATACTGAGAACTCCTTACCTTTTTTTTTGACTATTGAAGAGACCAGATCTAACCAATAGTACAAGCTAATCTAAATTCTTGGTAAGGTAGATTATTTGCTACCAATTTTATGACAGCCAGTTTGTTTTAATATATAATTAATTCGCTGAAACTCCTATTTCTCAATGAAAATGGTTAAAAGATATGTATGAGATGAAAATTCAGGTAACATAAGCTGTATTTAATTAGTTTTTGGCCATTCAAATTCGAAGGAATATGTGCCTAGCAAAATATAAAACTGAAACAGTTCCTGCTTTGATGAGAAAAAAGCGAGGACTTTGTTGCATAATATTCTTTTTGAGTGCTTCCAGAAATGACATGTTACTTCTATGATAAATTCTACCTCTATTTCCATCAGTTAGTATGCATTGTCTTTCCTGGAATTATATTATAGAGAAAACTGGATATTGGTTTGATAGTTGCATGGATACCACAGATGGATCTTGGGGTTGGATCTTTTGTTTTGGCAAATGCATTAGTTTCAAAACAAGCACGTTGTTCCACAATGGGGTAAGCTTTATTGCAGATAGAATATGATGTCCTCAATGAATTATTGCATCTTTAACTTTGTTACTAGAAAACTATTGACATGTCAGTCGTCCATTATACATGTTTTATGCACTTTTATACAGGACTCAACGGTTCATGTTTAACAGTGAATGAAATAATGTCTATAACCTTGCTACAGTACTAAAGACTCATGTTTAATAGTGAATAAAATTATTCGAAAATTAACATGCTCATAATTATGCATGGCACCGTATATGAATCTCAACTTGGTTTGCCCTTGTGGATGTTTTGCCCTACTTGTATGGGTCATTCTTTATCAGTTAGAGGATACAGGAGATACTTTTGAATTGAAAACTTCTAATTCCAAAATCCCATGCTGTACTATGTCTACAATAGCTCCGTTACTTACATTACTCTACTTATCATTAATTATCAACCTTCTGAACCCTTCGACTTGAATTTAAAAAATTGCAGGTACTGCTTTGACTTTTCTGTTTCCGTTCACACTTTGAGCGGTCTCGAATTTTTTTTTCTTAGAATACTCTCCCCAAATCATGGGGTCTGTATCTTCTTTTGTGATATATGCGAAAAACCCTCTCCATCCCTTGGGAAAATCACGCCTGGACTGTGTGGGGAATCAGACATTTTGATACTCTTTCTGACCTTAAAAGTCTCGTCCAGAAGCACAAGGCCGCACAGGTTGTTAGGTTTGTCCTGCAGCCTATTCTTTCTGCTATGAAGATCACTAGAACGAAACTAAGACTGAGATTTGATCACTGCATTGCCAATGGGGATGGTGATTAATTTGCTCAACTTTGCCGAGGAGATATTGACTTTTTTCCTTTGGCTATATGTATAGGTTCACGTTTACTTGTTATCACACAGTGCATTGGCTGATATACAATACTTTATTTGTTGGTGAGAAACTGTTATATTTTGAAACAGTTCAATGTGGTTGACGGTCTATTTAAACCTGTTAAATATTGAATTGGAGATCACAAACGTCTGTTGGGGTACATGAGTGGGTTGAGTGGAAACTTGATTTGAAAGCACCCAAATTTTTACCGACGTTGGCTCTTGTACATTGGAACGAATTTTATCGAAGCTGCTGGTGATGACTGTTATAGATTTTGCGGGCTTTGTACAGAAGTGCTAGGTTCTCAGCGGTCAGTCTCTTGATAGCTTGATATGTTTTTTAGCTCTCACAGTCAACACAGTAGTTATTCTGTCCTTCCCAGTTCTCATGCTTGATTTTCGTTTTCTTTACATCTGAATGTTTCTGGCTTTTCACTAAGAAATTTTAATTTATACCTGTCTCTGGAGCTATTATTTTGGTATATGCCAATGATGTCGGTCAAATAAGCTGTTCTCATTGACTAGACGCTCTGATGGTGAAGGCTATGCGGTTGATTTTTTTACATGATAAAAATTGCATTGTATCCACTTCTTTCAAGGAAAGTGATGCCCCAACTTTCATCCACAGGAAATGGAACACAACACTTAAATCAATAACTCCTCTAATCGTCTTGGGCTTTGGACGGCTAATTTTCACGAAAGGTGTGGATTATCAGGTGATGATCTTTCCTTTCTTGGTGAATTCATATTTTGTTCCATTAATCAGCGCCAGTTCCTCTGTGGTTGTTAGGCAAGCAGCCATGTCTAGGAGTGTTCACTCTGTTAATAATTCCTGTTCTTGTAGTGTCTCTTCTTGGGGTCCTATTTCAATTTGACAATCTAGCATTTATAATTGCAGGTTCATGTTGGAGAATATGGTGTTCATTGGAATTTCTTTTTCACGCTTGCAGCTGTATCATTACTGACATCTATTACTAGGCTCCATCCAATATATTGTGGAATACTTGGATTGTCCATTCTTGTTGGTAACACTGAGTTGACGTCTAAACGCATACTTTTTAACCCCAAAAATGAGATATTATTGTTGAACCCAATTCTCGTTGCTATGCAGCTTATCAGATTTTATTGATGTCTGGTTTGAATATTTATCTTCTTTCTGATGAAAGGGCATCGGACATCATCAGCCTGAACAAGGAGGGCATTTTTAGTGTATTTGGTGAGTTTACCTGTACTCTTCTGTTTGCCTTTTTCCAATTTTTTTTCTTAATATTTCGACTTGCCGTAGGAAGGAATCTGTCTCAGAATCACCGTCCCATTTTTGGAATTTGGGTATAGTCTTGTCAGCCAGCCAGAAATTTCTGAAATCACGTGAATATTTCATATTCAGAGAAAATACTATTTCACCATTACAGATATTTCCATATTTGAAGAATTTCATTTATTGCACACCCATGAGAAATAACTGGTAATTGGTAATGTTTGAGAATCACACAATCTCTGGCCAGGAACAAACCGAGGAAAGATACTTCAATCTTATGACTTGACTTAATTTGCATGCATTATTTACTCATGTTTTGAAGATTAAAAGGTGAGACGAGAAATGGTGTAGAGTGCCACGTTTTATGCATTAGAAACCTCACACCAGCGTCCCAGTTATAGAATCTTGTGGAAAGATGTTCTCCTTTCAGTTGACTCAACATTTTCCCTGCCAGAAACAATACCCGCATTATTCAATCACATCTCTCTTGGAAAAATACTTTCAGAACTCCAACTAATGCATGAACTATTTAGAGAGGATTAAAACCTAGAAATCAAAATAGTGTTGTCAATGAAACTACAAGGACGAGGAATAACTTGTTCATGAACAAGTCCACTGTGGGACCTGAACTGTTGATGCATAATTTTTCTGGTCACCACGTTCATGAGAATGCTGCTTGGATACATGGGGATTCTTCTCCTGTTTTAGCACAAAATGGACGTTGGTCGTTCTCCCTGATATTCTTCATTGAATTCTGTGTGTGTCTTTAAACTGCAGGTGCCGAGATTTTTTGTCAAAATAGAAACTTTGTGGTGCCTTCTTCAACCCTGTTTTTAACCAAAAATATCAAACTTTGTGGCAGGATATTGGGGTATGTATCTTGTTGGTGTTTACTTGGGACATAGTTTGCTCTTCGGAAATGTGGCAACCGGCATGACAAAAGAAGTTCAGCAGACGAGGACTAAAGTCTGGTTCCTCTGTGTTATGTTTTGGTATACTCCGAAAAGTCTTGAGCTTTTAATGATTTTCTTATTGATATATTGGCGGGGAGTGAGATATCTGATGCTGTTCTTCATCTGGGCTGCATTTTAGGCTTTTGACCGTCATCCTTGACAAGCACGTAGAAAGAGTTTCCCGTAGGATGGTAAAAGGACTTCATCTCTAATTTTTGTGTGCTCTAGTTTTCAGCAAGCCATTTATGCTCATTTTATACGATGTAAATAGATGCAAGTGTTTTCTTTATCAAAATGCTGGTTCATGCAAGAATCGCAGAATGAAATTTCCTTTTTGTTTTACTCTTGTGAGAAAAAATTCTCCATCAGAGAGTTTCATGATATGGCTGCGGAGTATAAACCTGGATCTCTAGGAAATGACAACAAATATTTTGGTGCAGTGCAACCTGGCGTATGTGATGCTAGTCTTAGCCCAAAATTTTCAGGTAAATATTTAACCTTTTTATTTAAATATTGGTCGTAATTTATATTCTAGCTTGTATTTTTTTAGCAAAAAAAGTAAATTTGATTAAAAAATGCACCAATACCATTGGGATAATTTGGTTTATCAATTCACGCTTCTTTATCTCTGACACCTTTTGCATCTTCAACAATAGTTCTAGAGATGCCAGAGATGACAATTCTCTGTTGATTATTAATAGAGAAGATGGGTAGAGATAGAGTCCCTGCAATCAGGCAAATATTTAGTTGCTATAAGATGTTCATGAAATATCATGTGCGCTTCACTTTCTGGAGCATGCTTCCTCCAAATATCCAGTTACTGGAAGAGACAAAAAGAAATGAGAGAGAGAGAGAGAGAACTGGCCCTGTTGGCCACTATTGTTCCTGCCAATCGAAAGGAAACATGGAACAAATGCACATTTTTATCAGAGCACACCCTTATTCCCATCGTTCAATCCTTCCCAAGCTTGGGTTACATGGGTCACGACCAATCTGACTTTCTTATCTTGGATTAGAGTTCCCCAAGAGCCTGTTGACTAATATTCGCATCAGATCTGCTCATCTTGTTCACATAGTCAACATGCTCTCTGTAGGTATTCTCAATTATGCTGGTTTCAGACCTTGTCCCCGGACAAAAGCCTCTACTACTCGAAGAAGCAATTGACCAGAATCTACTTGGGGTCTTTCTTTTGGTGGGTGCAACCCTAATCTTGCCTATGACAAATAGGGTATTAAAAACACTTCCTGAGATCATCTTAGAGGGGAATCCAAACAATCGTTGACTTTTTCCCCTTTCCTGATGCAGGCAAATCTACTTACGGGCATGGTGAACTTGTGTGTGGACACACTCTCATCCTCAACAGTTGCCGCGTTTGGTATTTTATCAGGTTACAGTGTCGTTTTGGTAGGGTTTGTGGGTCTCGCCAGGTTCTGCAGAGTCAAACTCAAGTTCTGGTGAATTCACGGTATCATGCTCAAAGTTCATGCCTTGATTTATGCCATTGAGCATCTGCTAACTATGATGAGTTGATCTATTCGTTTGGTGGAAGTTAGTTGCTTTATCTCACTAGATGGCCTTTGTTGGCACAAATCCAAGGAGAGAGAATATGCAGACGAAAAACTCACTTTGTACTCACATCTAATACAAGTACTGTCGTTGAGATAACAAACGGCCTGGAGGTCTGATAGGTGCCCAGTACTCGTGGAAGAACTCGCAACTTTATTGATTAGTAAGAAAACTATTTACAAGGAGAGTGGGATCTAGTATTTATGCCAAATCCTTAGAAGGTTTTAGACATATTAATGTAACACCAAATGAAAGGTATATGAGGACATATATGTAAACATGTAAGGTTTATAGGTTTTTAAGTACATCTCGACAGCACTCTCTCTCAAGCTGGTGATTGGATGCCGTCTATTCCCGAGATAATCTTCTATAGTTGTGTACCTGAGATGCTTTTAGTAAGCTTGTCTGCCAATTAATTATTTATTGAAATGTATGATATAGAAATCACATTAGACTCAAGTTTCTCTTTGATAAAATGGTGATCAATCTCCACATGTTTGGTACGATCATGCTATATAGGGTTGTGCACTAGATTAATTGCTTAATTATTGTTGCAATAAATCTTCACAGGACTGAATAAAGGAATTTGTAACTTGTCAATTAAGTAACTCACATATTCTTTGGGCAAGTTCCCTAAGTTCAGCCTCAACACTTGATTGAGCAGCTATATTCTAATTTTTACTCCAACTGAAAGGGTTGTCACCAACAAAAGTAAGATGACCAAAGGTTGACCTTTGATCAATTGTTAAGCCTGCATAATCAACATCTGTAAACATCTCAACCTCTAGCTTTCCACTTTGTTTAAAAAGAACTCATTTTTCTAGTGTGCTTTTCAAATAATGTAGCACTCTATAGGCAGCATGTAAATGAGACTTTTTAGGTTGATGCATAAATTAGTTCAATATACTCACTGCATATGAGATATCTGGTCTAGTGTGTGTTAGAAAAGTAGTTGGCCAAAGAGATGTTGATACATCTCATGGTCAATAGAAATTTCTTCATCTGCCATGCACAATTTCTAGTTTGGATCAATAGGTGTATTGGTTGATTTACATGCGAATTTCCCTATTCAGCTAACAAATTTGTGATGTACTTTTGTTGAAAAATAAAATACCTTTAGAAGAATGTGCCACTTTGATTCCTAAAAAATACTTGAGTTGTCCTAAAGTTTTAACATCAAACTCTTGGGCCAAACAATCGCTCAAGTTTTAAATCTCCCCTTCATCATTTCCTATGATAATAATATCATCAACATAAGCCAATCCTCATGAAGAAGAGTGTTTGAAAAATAATGTGTGATCAGCATTACTTTGGTTGTAATGTATTTTCTTCATGGCTACTATAAACCTTCCAAACCATGCATGTAGAGACTGTTTTAGGCCATAAAGGGACTTCTTTAACTTGCAAATAATATTAGATGAATGATTACCCTCATATCTTGGTGGGAGAGTCATGTAGACCTCTTCAACCAAATCACCATGTAAGAATGCATTTTTAACATTAAATTGTTGAATATTCAAGCTGAAAATTATTGCCAAGGACATTAAAAAATAGACTATATTCATTTTGGCCACTAGTGTAAAAGTTTCTTGATAGTCTATTCCATATATGTGTATGACCCTTAGCCACCAGCTGGGCTTTATACCTCTCAATCAAACCATCCAATTTATATTTCACTGTGTACACCTATTTGCAACTAACAATCTTCTTATCTTGTGGTAATTTCACTAGATCTCATGTCTGATTGTTTGCAAGAGTTCTCATCTCATCATCTATGGCTTATTTCCACTCAGGATTGGATAGAGCCTTAGAGAGATTTTTGGAATGGTAGTACTGTCTAAGGATGCATGTCTAAGGATGCAAGGAATGATTGATAGGGTGAAGGAAGTTTGTGATAGGATAGGAAATTGACAGCTGGGTATAAGAGTATTTTTGTGCACTCCCTTATAGGTTTGCATAGGGCAATGGAAAGTGAATCATGAGGTAGGACTGTAGGATCATCAGATGAAGGAGATGTTAATGGCTATATATTTTCTAAGGTCAGATCAGAATCTTAGAGTTTTGGTGAATCGTGAATTTTCCCTCACCTAGAATAAACCTTGCCAAACCTTACCTTTTTAGGAAGCAGATCCAATATAGGACTGGGTATTTGAAGGACTGAAATGAGAATGAATAAGTTACCAGCTAAAGATGAGAGTGAAGAATTTACACGTTGATCTATATGAGCTGTAGAAAATAGATGTTGATCACTAGATGAAAATTCTTTACAATAAGAATCCGATTCATGAAATGTAACATCCAATGAAATATTTTTTTTCTAAAAGGAGGGTGGTAACATTTGTACCCCTTTTAATTGGTAGCATAACCAAGAAATACACATTTAAGTGATCTCAATTCTAGTTTGCCTTTGGTTTGATTATGAACATGAACAAAAGAGACACAATCAAATGTCTTAGGTTCTAGCCTAGTTTTAAGTTGATGGTCTAGGAAAAACATGGTTAATGAATATAAGTGAAAGCCTAAGGTTCTAGATGGTAATCGATTTATGAGGTATGTGGCTGTTAGAGCAAGCTTGCCCCAAAAAAATTTAGGTACATGATGCTGAAAATAAAATTGATTGAGTGACTTCTAAAAGATGACAATTTTTTCTTTCAACTAAACCATTATGCTATGGAGTATAAACACAGGAGGATTCATGTATGATGCCCTTTGTTTGGAAGTATAAATTCAGATTTTGGCAAAGATACTCTTTAGCATTATCAGATTTGAATTTTTTTAATACTAGTGCAAAACTAGTTTTTTATTATGGCACAAAAAAGTTTTAGAATATCATACACTGGATTTTTATTTTAGAAGGAAGACCTGCATACAACTTGTACAATCATCAATGAAAGTGGCAAACAATTTATAACCACAAATGTCATTATTGGGACATGGTCCTCAAATGTCACTATGAATTAGGAAGAAAGCAACATCACTCCTTTCCCCTTGAGATTGAAATAAAGTATGTGTGTGTTTAGAAAGTTCACACACATTACATTTAAGAGTATTTAATGACACCTTTCAAAATAAAGTAGAAAAAGCTATTTTCTAAGTGCTAAAAGATGGAAGACTCATCTATTGGTGAAGTAATTGTATATTAAGGACATATCCTTGAGGTTCTAGAGATTGATCTACTTCCACTAGATGTGTTTGTCTTAGTCTTTCTAGAAGATAAAGACCTTTACGCTCTCTAGCAACTCTAATCCTCTAATGATGTACCTTATCAAATATGACACATACATCTTCATAAAAAAAGAATGATAGGTGAGTTTCTAACAAGTTTTTTAATTGAAATGAGGTTTGTAAATAACTTGGGGACATGAAGAACATTAGTGAAAACCCCAAGAGGTTCAAGTCTAATGTCTCCTATATTTGCGATGGTTAACATACTAGAAAGTGGTATGTTGTCTCCTATACTTGATGATTTTTTGTCACTAGAAGAGACTTTAACTCCAAGAGAGTGGTAAAACATATGAGGCTGAATTGATGAGAACTATGTTATTGTCGACTTCAGTTTTTCTAACTCAATTCAAAGTCGCTCTATATCCTCATATTTTTTATTGATTTGGGAATCTGAGGGCTAACTAGTCAGTAATCCTATTGCCAAATGTGCTTGACTATAATATTTTTCAATCTCAAAATTTTATAATTTACCATGTAGTTTATAACATCTGTCTCTAGTGTGATGAGCTTTTTCGCAACATGTACACCACAGATTATCATGAAAATCAGTCTTTTGATTTCTTCCTTGGTCATGCTGGGGCTGTTTAGCTTAATTTGAGGTGTTCTTCATAATTTCTCCCTGTTTAATCATAAATGTAGTATTATCAACTTTAGGCACTTGCAACATTAATTTTTGATGACTTTTCTCATTCAAAACGATTGAAATAACTTCGTCCAAATCAGATTTTTTTTTACAACTCAAAATATGTTGTCTGACTTGATAAAAAATAGAATTAATTCGAGCCAAAAATTTAAACTCTCTTCTTCGTTCTATAAAATGTCATAGGACAACAATTTTTATAGGTTTTTCTGTATCAATATTGAGATAATAATCGATTTCGTGCCATAAAATTTTCAATTCTCCTGCATATTCAATCACATATTTATTTCCTTGAATTGTGGATATGGATTTTGTCTTGAGTTCATATAAATGTGCATCATTTTTTCTTTGTGAGAATTTCGTGTGAACTATTTCCTACAAATCTTTGACTGTAGATAAAAAGAAAAAATCTAGGCTAATTTGGGAAATCATTGTTCCCCAAAGTTAGGTTTTGATTAATGCATCTCCTCTCCATGTAAAAAATTCTCGAGACAATGGATCTAGTTTCCCCTCAATTAGATGATGTAACATCCTTCTTCCAATCAATACTTCTAGAACATATTTTGACTATTGAATTAAATTGTGTCAAGTCAATTTGAACTTTGTAGGCATTGTAAGAAGTTCAATGAATAATCTTGGACCACTTGGACCAAGATTAACTTCCTTTGTGGAGATTGGATCCCCACAGATAATGAACAATTATCTCCCACATTTTCCATTTAGAAAGGATGTCCAAATTCACGAAAAATATCAAATTTGTGAACAAATCTCAATAAAAACAAGGAAAAAATGGTGCAAGAGCCATAACTAACTAATAGATCAGTGTGAAAGCAAAGAAATAGAGTGATCATTCATGTGACTTATGTAAATTTAAAATTTATAAGTATTTCTGAACAAATATATCAATTATAATTCAATTAAAGTTTCAAATATAATAGAAAATTTTCAAGTCGATCACAAAGATGTAATATAACATCAACTAATATTTAAGAATTTCTCTCAAAGAATATAATTTTTTATGACTTTT